CCCTCCCCGTCCACCGCCGCCTCCCAGGCCTTCGGGTTATTGAGGTAACCGGCGATCAGATTGACTCCGCGAACGCATATCTCTCCGTCGGTATTAGGGCCCAGACTTTCACCGGTAGTCAAGTCGACGACTTTAACCTCCGTTCCCGCACTGACTTGTCCACAGTTACCCGGTATGTACTCTCCCTGTTCCCGGTTTCTAGCTAGGGCAGGGTACTCGGTCATACCGTAGCCTAAAATATTTAGCCCAATATACATTTAATTTGATTATATTTATACCTAATTATTAATTATACATGTCGTGATAATTATATGCTGGCTACTTTTTTTGTAAGATTCTTAATATTAGTAATAAGTTTTACTTAAATTCAATGAATGAATTAAAAATAATTTTAAAATTATAAACATTTTATGTAAGCAGTCTTAATTTAATTAATTTATATTTTAGTTTAAATTTACCTTCACTAAATAACAATTTGAATTTATCGGTAAATGCCCTTGCACAGTTAGTCGGAAAGATAGACCCACCACTGGTTATGATTTTCAGAGTGGACAGGTCGTATTTATCTAGTAATCCTTGATCGACCATTTGTTTCCCAGTGTGCGGGAATATTCCCAAATTTTGAATGCCATAGTTTTCAACCGATTGCGCTATATGTTCAGCGTTATTACTGTCAAACAATATCAATTTTGATCCTGATGTTATCATAGTGGGTAATCCGGTAGACCCCATCATGTGTCCCAAGGGAAATATCAGTGAGGTAATTAGCCCACCCTGATTATTGGGGTTATTAATTTTGTTTAACACACTACGATGTGGGACCATAGCACATTTAGGGGCACCGGTAGTGCCAGACGTGTGTATGTAAAATAGCATATCTTTCTCGGGGTTTACATCGAAGTGTGGTATTTGTGCCAATTTCTGACCCTTTCCCTCATCCCGGAGCTCCTCATAAGTCACGTGCTTATCGTGTTTGCCGTCGAAAAGGACCACAAGTTTCACCGGATTTTTGTTGTTATTTCGCGAGTCATCCAAAATCCACTCAAACTTATGAAAGTCTTGAGCGGATGTCATGACTACGTCAGCGCCGGCAGACCTCACCTCCTGTTCCACTTCGTACTTCTCAAACGTGGGACTTAAGGGCATGAATGTCACGCCCAGGAATAGGGTCGCCATACGAAGTACAACGTGTTGTATAGTGTTTGGCCCATAAAATGCAATTAAAGATTGTTTGGTGACCCCTCTATTAATTAGAGAAGTGGCTATACTATGAGCCGATTTTAGGAGTTCCTCGACGGTTATGGACACCCCGGTAGACGCTTCCACCTAAATTACAAATTATACGGTATATTATGTTATTCGTGATAATAATGTAATTTATAATATTATAATAACAGAAATAATTTCATATTTAATAGTTGTTAATAATTAATTGTTATTACAGTATATTAAAATACAGTATTTGCAACATACTGAATTTATAATATTAAACTTTGGCTACACTAAAATATTTTTAGTAATTATTAATTCTGTAAAACATAAAAATTCATATTCAAACTGTAAACTTAATTTTAATTATAAACAAATATTTAATACATAGTTTAAAAATATATATTTTGGAGTCTCTAATCGTAAGAGATTAATTTTTATAATTTTTAACATATTTAAATTTAATTGTGGTTAATTTGTTTAAATAATTTTAATAATTAGTCTAATTATTATTAATTATTATTCTAAAATATAAAATCTTCACTAAATACATACCAAGCAAATATGATCTGGATTCAATTTCTGTAAACCTTTAACCACATATTCACCGACAGTATTAAATTCACATTTCGGTGCAGATCTAGATGAACGTAAAATTTTATCCTTGGTCATACTTAAATCATTAACTATTAAAATAACTCAAAATTATTAAATTTAACTCAACAATTTAATATTTCATATGCATAGTCTATAATTACATTAAACTACTTACTTTATATACGCTCAGTGTTATCTAACATATCTACTTGTTTATATAATATTAAATGCATAGATAACATAACCGGTGCAGTTTATGATAAAAAGGTCATTTATTTTGAGTATACTTAACACAATCAATGTTTTCAATAGTATCACATATTTCTTATTATTTTTAAAAGTGATTAAAACAGAATTAAAAGTTTATAATTTAATTAATAATTAGTTAATAATTATTTATAATAATGTAATTAAATTTTAGTTGTTACTGGTCAAAATGGTTCATTTGTTTTTATCATTAGGTAACCTATGTTAAATGACCTTGAATGTATTTTTTGTCACTGAACTAAATTTTAAAATATGTAGATAAATAATTAAACCACACTATATTAATATTTTGTCAAGATATTAGGTTCATTTTGATAATTTAGTAAAACATTGACATACTGTACCAATACCATGGTTATCATTGTGTACATTGCCAAATAATTTAAAATAAATTAGTGTAATGTATCTTAGAAAACAATATGACGTTAAATTGTTTCTTATTATTACATTGTAATTAAACAAGTACATTTTGAGTCAGTTTAATTATTAATTTAGTTACGATAAACTTTTCAAAATGTAATATCTATTTCTAATGAATAATTATTTGCACCATACTATATAATATTGTGTCAACTATTTATAAATAATAATAATTTATTGACATTATAATGTTTAATTCAAAATATATAAATATACAGTATATTACAGTATATGTATATTAAATTTTTAAGTAATTTACTTAATTATCTGGATAACGACCACAATAATATGGACACTGTGCATATATAATTAATTTTGTATTTTTATTTGATAATAATTTTTAAAATTTATATTTTATTATATTTTAGATATTTCTTTTGCGAATAATAATCTTTGTGAATATAATTTATTTTTATTAAATACTCAATATAATAATTTAAAATAACAAATCTAGTTATTCAAATAAATGAAAAACATTAACGCCTGTTTTAAAACTGTATTTTTATATTATTTGTTTTATTCAATTAAATAGTTTATTAAATGATTGCTAATGGTGTAACTTTGGCCACGCTAAATTATTATTATTATTAGCAATTTATTATTAATAAGGTACATTATTTATACTTAAAATACTCATAATTAGATAATGTAAGTGCCATAATATTAACATACTTTAACAAGTTTAAACAACAAAATATTATAGGTGCTATTAATATTGTTTATTAATGTTAATAATTTGGTATGCGTAAAAATTATAAAATTATATAATTGATATTATAGACTTGATAATCGATGAATAATAAACAATTTTATTTTATTAAAATAATAATTATATTCTGAATACGTTTAATGTAGTTTAATTTATTTTAACTTAACTCGGAAAACTATACAATTTGTATCTATAACCACAAATCTAGAATCGTGTATCCATATAGAATTGCTATCAATCCTTGTTTTGATTATAAATTAAACATCATTAAATAATATCGACCTATTATGCGATTATAATAATTAATTTATATTTGTTTAATTATATTTAAATAATTTATTAGATCTCTTTCTCCCATTATATTACGAACTGTAAATCAATAATCATTTTCATTAAATATAAATTATTTGATCAGTTTTGTAATTATGGAAACTAATGGGTTGTTCTTTTTATTCTATAATAAATGAGCTGGATAATTTATATAAGACAAATAATCACATAAATATTTAAATTCGATTAGGTAATCACCAGGTATATATACTAACCATTGGAGGTATGCAAATCATCGCAATCAGCCTAAAGAATACTTTATAATTAGGGTTGTTATTGTTTAAAACGTATTTTAGGCCAAACGATCTTTAGGCCATTTAAGCGATTCCCGTAAATTCAATTAATTGCGACAAATTATTTATTTAATTTAATTATTTAATCCAACAAACAATTGACATTACGTTTAACTATATATTTAACAATGTATGTGAATATCGCAATTATAATCCTTCCATTGGTCGGCGTATTTAGCTCTCAGCCAATCGTTACGCGTATCCATACAATGCGTGGCCGAACATATGGCGTGCGACGGGTCCTGTTTCACGAACGCCTCGAATACGTCGCGATTTAAGTACCGAAATCCGCAGCCGATGACCGACAGATTCGCCCGACCGGCCACACCATCCAATGCCCCAGCGCTTAGCGAGTCGGCCCCTAAATCGGCGTTACTATCCAGGTATATATTGAGACCGAGCGCCGCGCCGGGCGTATCACGGGCGGCGAACGCCCGGTCGGACACGTTCTCGAGCTTATTGTGCGTCAGATAGAGCTCGCGTAGAGCCGGCAAATCGGTGAACGCGCCGGCGCCCACCCGAGCCAGCGTCGGGTTATCGACGATGTGGACTTCGGTCAACGCCGGGTGCGACCGGACGGCGTCGTCGGGAATGGCCGTCAGACGGGTACCCGATAGCCATAGCTTCTCCAGCGCCCGCAGCAGCCGGACAGCAGCGAATATTTCGTACTCGTCGGTGTCGGCGGCGCTGTTGGGGTCGGCGATCGGTGCGCCCTCGACGAACAGCCACCTCAGCCGCGCGGCGCCGCCCGTCCCGTTGAACGCCATGCGGTGTACGCGCCGCAGTCCGCGGGCGTAGTTGATGTGCACCGTATCGAACCCTATGTCCGCGAACACGTTGGCCGGCAATTCCGCGACCGTCTCGTGGCTCAACTCGAACCGTTCAAAATGTTTGTTTTTACCCTATGGTGACCCAGGTTGATTAAGGATTTTTCAATAAGTACGTATGATTGGCATCGGGGAGGGGATTAAGGCAAAACGTACGCTAAATGTTAAACTACCCTTAGACTAATCCCTAAATTTGGGTACCAGGGGGGAGGAGGAGGGGATCTAGAAATTGAAAATTTTTTCGTATGTACTTATTGAACGGGCCCTATGCCAGTCAATTTAAACTTAAATTTTACTAAACTAAAAGTAGACTAAATCAAATAAATTGGGCATCCTATTTGTGAGTTACGTGCATACAATCGTAACGCCCAATGCCAATAAATAGAGGCATCCAGGTGACGGACCATACCTCTAGTTCGCGGCTCAGCCGCTGGAATAGAGCCGTTAAGTCTAACGGATCGCTGCCTTTACACGTGATGGTAGTCTCGTCCTGATATGTATCGCAACTACAGGGTTGTAGTGCCGGTGCGGCCGGACATTCGCTACCCTCGCATACGACTACTTTCAATAGCGTAACGAACGCCACCAGGGTTATTACTGTTGAGACCATTAACATACTTGTTTATACATAATACACGTGATTAATAATCAAGCTTATTTTACTACTTACAGTTATGTCTCATGATGTTCATTATGTTATTTACGTTGAATTTTATTTATTTAATACTTTTATAATTTATAAGTTCCTGTAAAACTAAAACTTATAATTTATATAGAATTCTCTTATATATAAATGTCTTATAAATACTGTAATCCAATTATATATTACAATAACAGGATATAAGTGGTGATTAGATGCACTATACAAGTCCAGTGCGTTAGGATACATCATAAATAACTTAACTTGAAATACTAAAATAATTACATTATGATTATGGATAATGATTATAATAACCTTCAATATGTCGAAATATATTCTGTGTCTTTATAGCCTTGTTATCGATTTTTATAAAAATTTCTAGACCCCCTCATATCACTTATAAACATGTGATACAAATCTATGCCAATTTAACCTTTTAAATGTATGCACATTTTACTTACCACCCTTGATTAGAATATCTGTAGCTTTATTTGTGCCTGAGTTATTCTCAGCGTGAGCATATTAAAGGCACTTCATTAAAACGCATTTCCAGCATACACATTTTCAGCTATTATTTGGTTAATATAGAATACCGGAAATACATTGCCGTTAACTGTAAATATTGTTAAATAATATGTTAATTCCTATTTAATACTTACAAAACATACAATTAGGAGAAGAGATACCTCAATTGAAGCAGGGTTATATTCGTTGATATAGTCTCATTGTGGATGATTGTTTGATTTGTTTTAGCGGCATAAACTTAGTTTTGGAAATGTCAGCACAAACATGTGATTAGAATCTATATTAAATACTATAACAATTAAATTTTATAAATTATGACGTTTGTCCTT